CTCCTTTGAGGCAAGTGTTACCAGTATATGTAATGGTCCATGTACCAGCATTTTTATCCCAAACAACTCCATCTCCAGATCAGTTCACCATGCAGAGAATGCAGTAGTCAGAATTCAAGTCTCAAATAGCCGCTACAAAAGGTTGTGACATGGTGGCATGGGAATGGAGATGTGGCAGGAACTCATTCTGTATTGGCTTGCACTACTTACTTCATGGGTCCAATGAGTATTAGATGTCAGACTTCAAGCACCCACCTGGAAGTTAGAGGCATCCTTGGGACCTATGACAGCGCCGGGATGGTGGAAGTTGATTCGTAGATAAGTGTAATCAGCTTCGATGGATGAGGACACGTTTTTGATAGTACTGATGTGAAAGGGTGTGGGGTGGCCAAAGATGGGGAGAATAACCGTTTCGTACTTCTTGTCTAAAATAGGGGACAAAACAAAGCGGAGATTCAAGCCAAATGGTCTTATGACAACCAGTTTGATGAATTAGTTTAGAGCCTTGTAAAAGCAGACAATGGGGCAGGAAGGCTGACTCACCAACAAAAATGCGCAGCTTGCGAACGTCGTCCTCCTTGGGCATCTGCCCGGCACCCTTGTAGGCCACGTTGGACTTTGCTTTCTGGCCCGTTTCTCCGTCCGTCTTGAGGCCTGAGAGGCGATTGCGAGCGCTCACCTGGAGTTGCTGGAAGAGCTCCCGGCGCTGTTGCAGTCGTTTTTCCTCCGCGGTTTGTTCGCTCTAAGATGAGATCTCAATAAGCCACCTCACGTTCACTGAATTCGAAAACTCGTCAACACTTCAAACAAGGTTGATAAGATTTATACCCTAGTTTTTTGATCCAAAATGGCCCTCCGATGCCCTCTGCCAAGGGCTTCTGGACCTCCATCAACGTCACCATTTTCAAGACTACCACCACCGCCGCCACTGCCAGAACCCGACTTTGACCCATTCTTAGAAGCACTGGCATTTTCTTTTTTCCGCCTCTTCGCATCGGCGCCTTCTCCGTCCACGTCCTCATCCCCTTCTGCCTCCTCCTCTTCTTCATCTTCTTCAATGTACAACGAAACAGCGCGGGGCCGACGCTTGGCCGCAGCAGTGAGCACTTGATTGGTCCGGTTTTCCCCCAAGCCAAGGATAACAACGTCACCCAACCACAGAGCGTAGCGTTTGTCCTTTTCAGACTCTGCCTCCTCATTCACCAGATCCTACGAAGCAAAGTGCTCCTTCCAATCCTTTGGGATTTTTATGAAGGATGTCTTAAGCATTGAGACAATTAGAAAATTTGAATTTTGAAGTCTACACATGTCATTTTCCCAAAAACACGATTCGGAATGCTTCGAACTACTGCCAACAAAATTGAGATTGTTTGGAATAGGTGTCCACAACACTAGGATATGCATTTTGAAGTAATCATCCAAGCTTCAAAACCGATGCAAACATGAGTCTCCCGAAAATTCGCAAGCTAAAACAAAATACGACATCCACATCTAACTATGCTGTTTCCCGCCTCGATCCGTAAGGAGGGTGAGACGATAGTAGGCTCAATACTTAATTAAATTCTCAGAATGGAGTAAATAAACGGAGTTTAGTTATATATTTCGAGTACCGGGAGAATGAAAGTTGAGCAGCAAAGAAGCGTCGACGTCCCAATTGGAGATGACCAAAATTAAATCTTTCACGAGGGTCTAAATTTATGCAAAGGACCAATTATCCTCTCGAAAAGAACTTCCACAAAAAAATCATGACTCGCATAAGGCTTCAAGTCTGACGACTGTGAAGCCTTAGAGGAACAAAGATACTCTCCCTACTCAAATAATGACACAAGATTAAGAGACT